GCTGGACAGAGGGGAAATGGCTGCCTGTGCAGATGGAAACAGGGCACAGCAGAATTTGGCCCCAATGGCTGTTGCATTGTGCAAGTGGGGTTGAATTTTACAAGCATTTGCTATGAAAGATACCTACATGAACAGACACAGAAAATAAGGACTCCCTTGAACCTTTTGTATTCCAGTACTTCAAGGGCATTTTTAAAATATTAAAACACTCCCTGCCTGCCCCTGATACTAATTGATACAATGTGTGTTGCCTATCTGGCAGATGGTTATTGCACAGGCATTTTTTAGCAGCTCTTCGATCCCCAGCATGGCAGCTTAGCAGTAAAGTCATGTTCAGCCAGTGAGTGGGACAGGGTTTCATCAACCAGGAATTCATTAAACTGATGTTCAGCTCAATTCTGTCACGTCACGGTAACATAGTGTATGTATCTTCTATCCAGCAGCTCTTAATGCACCATTCAGACATTGTTGGAGCTGTAATAATGAAGGATGGAAAATGAGATGGAGTTTCAACTCATTCCAGTGTAAATTTAATCTAGTTTTATACATTATAAAGTTTTTCCCATAAAAAGATCAAAAGCCTAAGTAAAATAGGTGCTAATAGGAACCCTCAGCAACTTAAAATGAATGTTCTTTCACAGGGTTCTGAACAGCATGCCAACACGTGTGCTGAGTTCTGATTTTTTGCTTGTAAAAGTATTTATATACAACATTTAATACAAAATCTAGTGTCCTGCTTCTTGAAAGGATTGCCCAGTTTCACCTACTGAAATATCAGGTCACTGAGTGTATTCAGACTGATGCAACAGCAGTAATACTTGATGAAGTACATATGTGGGGAGTGAGACAGTTGAAAAGTCTGTTTAAAAAGGAATCCATCCAAGCTTCCAAGGAGGCAATAGGGAGTAGCACACATTTGTGCAGCATGGACATATGTCCATGCTGCACAAATTCTGTGAATGGATTTGGGGTAAATGATACAGGGTAGAGACTAGAGGGTAAAGGAAGCACAGTCCATGTAGTCCAGGAAATACTTGGATCTGCGTGTAGGCGCTGGCAGTGGAGCTTGTTCACTGTCAAGCTGGCTATTTATTTTTGAATGATTCACTCTTCAATTACAGGTTTGGTTGTCCAATGTTTTTCAGGGTGAGTACCTGAGGAGGAGCGTGATTAGAAGACCCAACACCCCCCCTCCCCAAATTCTTGAAATATTTGTAGCTAATGGGGTGTGAAATGTAAAATTGCTATATAAATCAACTTGTTCTTTAACTTGGAAAGCTATTAAATTAGCCAGAGAGAGTTTTACATTCCTCCTGCTTAATAAAGATTTTCTTCTTCCCTTCAGCTGTCTCTTTTCCTCTGAATCTGTCCAAGAATAAACACATCACTCACCTGGATAGGGAAGCAAGTCATAATTAGGTATGATCTAATTGAGAAACTACTTGTAAATGAGAAATTCTGCAATTCTTTTGCAGTACAGTTTGAGTTCTGTACTTATTTTGATTCATCACAAAACATGAAGTGTGTGTACCAAACCACTCCAGTTGTACTTAGACTATTGCCCTGCCTGTCTCCAGGACTGTAGTTGTGGCAGGTGAGAGAGTATTCACTTTCTCTCCGGACTACCAATAACACTATCCTCTGAGGGGACTGGTTTTTTTTGTTCGTTCCTCTCCCTCCTCCTGAAAAAAATCTTCTCAAAGGTTCTCTGGATGAAGCTTTCTTGCCTTCTGAACTCCTACAGTAGAATCTTAATTTTATTTAAGTAGAGCTATTTCTGACCGGAGCGGCTGGGGTCTGTACTGAAAAGTGACATCAGTTATGCAGGGATAATAGATGTTGCTAAAATGCAGTTGAAATGGATTTACAGTGTCTAATTCTGGGTCCCCATGCTGCTCGAGCATGAAAAAGTCATGGTGTGGCACTGTTCCAAATATTTGAACTAAAGCAAGCCTTTCAAACGATTGCAATGTTTGTTTCTATGACCCTCGCCCTATGCCCATCCATCAATAGGTTTCCTCTAAAGGAAGCTTTGACTATGCTCCTATTCCAAAATAAAACAGAAGTGGTGAAAAAGTGGAAAGTAAATTCTTAACCAGCTTTTTTACACACAGTCACTGGAGGTGGGAGGGGAGCCATCGACAAAGGGAAGACTTCAGCTAGGATTTTGTGGAACCTTAGTACCTTTTCTAATCTTTTTCCAAATTAGATTTCCTGTAACCCTGTTCAATACCACCAAGCAGAGTAAAGATGCTGATACTTATTGATAGGTCTGTAGAAGTCTTATATTTCACAAACGGAGATAGCAAAGACTCATATATTATGAATACAAAATAAGAGCTGTTCCACACACAGTTTTCTCCTTTCTCTAACATTTGTCTCTTATATCAGATCTCCCTGTTCTTTGTGTTCATTAATAGGACTACTGAAGTACATATTTGTATAGAAGACTATTGCTATGTGAGTCACTCATTTAATTTTCATATTGAGTAGTGAGAAATATTTGTTAATTTTATGGTCTTCTAAATTCTAATGATTATTACATCCTTTGCACCCAGGCCTAAGCATTTGAAGTCATAGTAATGAAAGAGTCTCACTTTACAGATTTTTGTATCTATTTAGTTGCTTAAAGTTAGACACCTATTGAAGTAGTCTGACTTTTCCCCTGGAAGATACTAAGTATCTGCAGCTGTCTAAGTCCTAAAGCACTCAACTTTGAACAACTCAGCCATTTATTTAGGTGCCTACAAACAGATTTGGAAGACCAACTTTAGGCACCCCTGTTTGAAACTTAAGGCCATATAATATATGCATCATGCTTGATTGTACATACAGACTGTATGGACAAGATCAGCACACAGAGCTCTTAATATAAAGACACTAAGCATTCAGAATTTATTGTGAAAGGTAATTGCCAGGCGGACCTTGATTCCAAATCACATCTATATAATTTTGAAAAGGGCACTTGTCACTTTATATAAAAATGTAAAGTTCTTTTAATGAAACAATAGCGCAGTTGTGTGGCACCTAGAGGGGTGGGAGTAACTCTGAATGCATTCAGTGCCACAACATCCCCTGGAGGGTCAGACAGGCTCAAAAGGAATTTCCAGCAAGGCCTCCAGCTCCCATCAATAATCTGAGACAACCCTTCCATTAGAGGGTTTTTTGCTACTTTGAATTAATATGACTGTCAAAATTAATCATATGCAGGGAAACAGTGAAAGGTGTAATGGCATCAACTAGTAGAAATAGAACTAGCAGAAGCTTGTTAGGGGCATAAGGCAACATGCCAAGTTTATTGTGAAGACAGAAGTCATTTACTGTCCCTAGCTATTAAAACTGTCCACTACACATTTCTACAAATGGAATGTAATTACCAGCCTCAGTTGCTCATGCTATTCCATTGGCCAGGTGTTTTAGACAGGAGGCGGGCAGCTGGGTTGTCTGTGCGCACTGATGTTCCCATAAGATGTCTGGAGAACTGAAAGACCCAAGTCTATAGTTTTACGCCCATCTTTAGTCTATAAATCTTGTCCTGTCCCACTGCCCCGGAGCACTGTCTGATCATGAGTCATCAGTTAACTGCAGATGGGACTTTGATCTTTTCTTGAGAGGGCTTTTTTGTCTCTTGGTGGGTTCTTTTTGCAGGGCTCACTCACACTGTTCTTCAGCTGTCAAGGTGGTGCTGGCAGCTGGTTACCCAGACTGGCAGACTTCAGGGACTCATCACTTTACACACATTCACACTCACTTCTATTAGACTTGTTGCTTGATACATTACTGGCAAGCACCAGCAGAACCTATGCAGAGAGGTCTTAATGGATACAAAATTTGTTTATGCATCGGTATCTGAGCCATAGATAGCCATATCCATGGATACAGATATTCTGTGGATAGCTGCAGATTTGCAGGGCTCTACCTATGCAGAATATATAAGTAGGGTTGTCGATTTAATGACAGATTGCCTAAGGACTGAGTTTAACAGTAGAATACCAATTGAAATTTAATATTTGGGATGGTTTCCTGCATCTTCAAATATGTTGTAATGGACCTCAATATAATACAAATTGTACTATGCTCAACTTTATATAATTTTTATTACAAATATCTGCAATATAAAAGTGATAGAAATAGTATTTGTTTACAAGTGCTGCAGTGCAATCTACACACAGTTTACAACTGTAGATCTATTGGTTACGTAACTGCACTCCAAAACAGAACACTATGAAACTTTAGAGTCTCCCAAATCCACTCAGGCTTCTTGTTCAACCAAGAGGAACAAGTTTGTTTACATTTACAGCTGCTAACGCTGCCTGGCTCTTCCAGTGTCACCTGCAAGTGAGAATAGGCTTTCGCATAGCACTTCTGTAGCTAGCACTGCAAGGTATTTACATGCCAGATTGCTAACTTTCCACCTTCACAAAACTGAGCACCCGTATCCTGTCCCTCCTCTGAGGCCCTGCACCTGCCCCAGCCTTTCTCTGTGGCCCTACTCCCTCCAGCCCCCTCCCTCTGTCACTGGCTCAGGGCATTGGGGTATGGGCTCCTGCTGGGTGCAGACACAGATGTGGAGCCAAAATTGAGTTCAGATGGGGTGAGGCCTTCAGATGGGGATGATGGGTTTGGGGTGCAGGAGTGGACTCCGGGCTGGTGGATTGAAGCTGAGGGGTTCAGAGTATGGGAGGGGACTCCAGGCTGAGGCAGGGGTTTGGGGTCACAGGAGACACCTTGCTCTCTGGGGCTATGTCTACACTATGGGGCTTTATCTGGAAAAGGTAAACACATTGCAAGAGGTTTTTCTGAAATTTGGCCCGTCTACACTGGGCCAAATTTCGGGAAAAAAAACCCTCTTTCGGAAGCGCCCTTCTT